ATCGCTTCAAGTGTAAAGACAATGATGTTAACAGGCATTTATAAAAACGTCATCTTACTAATTATTACGAAATCTGCCATTTTCATATTTTCTGATTAAATAATTAATGATTATATATTATTACGAGAAAGGAAATCAGAAAAAAAATGAAATGGATTTCTGTTGTAACAGTTAACGAGTTTGTCAGTTGCCGAAGTCTTGCATGAAAATAGTGATACTGGGAACAAGTCATTAATGCAGGAGTGTTGTTATTAAGAAATGTAAAATTCACAACAGTGATATTGAAATCAACACGATTATGATACAGCATAATGTCTCGTTGTAGGAAAAGATCAAGCGGCTGATGTAGAAGAGTTGATTTCCAATTATGTTAGTTATGTTCAACGAACATGGTCAATTAATCACAAGACGACATCGATATATCTAAAAATGAAATTGAAGGACTCCGCAAGGTCTTCATTTCTTTCTGCACATGATTCTATTGTTTTTGTTACTATCTGGTAAGATTTGATACTGTAAATTGTCAACTGTGCAACTAACCAAAAAAATAACCTTCTTGCTTGAGGTAAATATGTTAAAAGATACCATCAGATTTTGTCATATCTGCGTCTTTGATTGAAATTGATAGAAAGTACTCTTCTGATTGGACTATAATAAAACCATGGTTTGAAAGAACTTAAAGGGGTTAAAACAAAATGGAAAGCTAGCATGCTTATTTTTGGTTGGTGTATAAAGTTCTATATCGTTGATATATGTGATGGCTATCCAGCATTGTTTTCTTTTAGATTCGAACATTTATTGATTACAGAAGATGACGTCATGTAAATACTCACCTTTAACGAGATACAAAGACCTCTAATCAAGGTGTTAAAAGCATGTTCCGTTTATGTATCATGATCGTTAGCTCTGTTTAGATTTCATTATCGAACAGGAAACAAACAGGTCTGTTATTTACACAAAATGTTAAATATAGTTTAACGAACATATATTCTATCAATTCAGCGTGTACTTTATAACGTTATCCTTGGCATTTTGAAGTGTTTTGAATGACTGCGTATGTATTTACCTGGTACATCACAATTCCTCTAATATTAAAAAAAAAATGTAAAAAAAAGGACACACAAGTGAATAACACCTTTTAATATAACTTCATAGTGAGATATAGTAGAGCTAAACACTAAATTAAACTGCATCATACAGCTGTTTCGTCATTCTAAGGCCTGTAAGTGATGCTAAGAGCATATATGTTGAATGAGGAGAATTCAAAGTGACCAGAAGAAATGTTAAAATCTAGATTGGAGGTGCACTAGTCCCCAAAAATATGTCTTAATTTTGATATATCTGATATTTTAAGGATAGTTATGTGACATTGTGTATATTTTTATTCTTTAAATACAATGTCTTTGCAGAAACAATCAGATGAACAGATCAATAGATAGCACTTGAATATCACCATTCAATTAATTGGGCGATAGATGAATATTTAGCACCTTAAAATAATGCAACTTTTTATTCTTCTTTGATACTTTGGACCAAATCAAACATTTTTACATGAATGGTTTCAAATCTACGTTTTGGACAATATATTAATTCAGAAAGTATTTATTTTGGAATTTGAAATCTTATTTGATCTGTTTTGATGATTAGTAGTAAAATCGCGATTCAATCATGCTATGACGTACTCAGATGACTACAAATATGAATATTTTCAAAGGAATTGTTTACATCTGAAATGTTGGAGGCTGCAAAGCATCTAGCTACATCCAAGATGACTTATAAGCATGAATTTTCTATTTTTACGTAGAAACTTTCCTGCTTCATTCTTTATGTTATGTATCGCTGTTATACTGTTTTTCATGACATTCACCTGTAACATTAGCGCAGGGAAAGCAAAGCTGCGAATGTGGGGTTTAATATGGTGTTCAAATAACTGATATCAAGTTAATCTTAGTGATAAGCAGACCAAACAATGCTGTAAAGCATTTAAACGAGCCTGAAATTCCCATATCAAAATCATAAATAAATTTATGATATTCTACAGTTTTATGTATCACGATGGATGTCGTCAGCTGACGGATATTTTAACGTTGCAGTATAGGGTTTTGGAAGACGCAGGTGAAGACTAAGAAAAAAAAAGTTATCCCATTGGGATTATGTGTGGCCTTGTGCAATATGTAAGAGATGATCGGTGCTTGCGTTACCGTTGTTATTAACCCAGCTCTAATTAGGAAGCTACGACAATACCAGTACAAAGTTGTTGTTGTTGATGCAGCAGATGTTTTTATTTCCTTTTTTTTTTAATTTTTCATATTCATTAGATTTCAGGTATGATAGCGTATAAGCGTCTACAAAATAATCAATTTTATTGGTAGCGCTTCATGGCGTTGTTCTGGAAATTGTCTATATTCATATATTATAGATTACTGATTGTTTTTTAATGTTTGTGTTACTTACGGCATTAAGTTAAAAATCAATAAAATATTCAAGTTATCAATACATTATCATAATCATATACAAGTCATTCTCACTGTGATGATGTGAAACAAAGGGACTAAGAATTTTGTAAGAAATCTCATTGCCTCATTACATTTGTATGTTTCTTCCATTTTGACGTCATATGAAAATCTAAAAGTCTGAAACATTTCGTTAAATATAACTTACATCATTTGTACGAAGGTAAAGTCATTTTCTTAACAAAATATTTCCCACACATACTTCTACAATACGGATGATAATGCAGACGCTAAAAAAGAAAGATATATAAGTATGTTATAAAATCATATTTTTGTGGGTGCCTAATTTTCATGGTTTTTCGTTATTTCGTAGACACTTACTTTTGTGGATATAAATAAACCTCAATAAATCTATTGAAATTAGTTTTAACAGTTCGCGAACATGTGAATTCATAGATTAAGATCAACCTTGAAAATAAATCTCCACGACAATTGTAATGCTGCAACGAAAGGTTTCATTGATGGATAAGAGGAAGGACATGTGGTCTCAAGAAACGATCCCGATATGTCACTGCTGTAAGAGTGTCATGGATAACAATGAGATGTATTTTCAGGCCTTGAGATATCTGTGCCAGTACCACAACAGAATCTCCCCACACCCAACCCCGGAATCCCTCGCTTTCCGTTTCGCCAGCGTCAGAATATCGCTCTCCATCTGATCTGTAAAGCGTGAAGCGTGAAGCTTGACTCGTCAGTGAACAACATGCGTCTCCAAAGGGCCAACCGAAACCGAAAGATGCATGTGCAAGCAGCCATTGCATTCGACTTTGGGATTGACAATAACATCGGACAGACAAAACAAGTAAAGGAGAGGTACAAGGACTTCCGGGTTCATTCTGATCTCACAGAGTTACTTCCCTTCGTTTCACACTGTCAGTACAGCGATAAGCTTGACAGCCGATAGGAGCCAATATTATTCAGGTTAAGCTACTCGAACTCCATGGAACTGTACTTGAATCACAATGTCATTTCACAACACTCTCAGCTTTATGATCGATCATAATTTCACAAAAAGCATGGTTTGTTTATTTTAATGTGTTTATGTCAAGATCTTGATAGAAATGAAACAAAAAAAGGTCTTGTCACAAAGGACACACATGATAAATATGAACCATATCTTTCGATCCGGGGGGCGTCAAAATCCCATAAAAGCTGCAAAAATAAAGGTTAAAACATGGGTTTTGAAGACAATTTTCCCAGTAAAAGAGGCCACATTTTACAATGAAAATATCAAATATTTTGTTATTAATAAAACATATATATTTTTTGGGCACGGTTATGCATTATATTATGTTTTTCAATGATATTTATGCGATATGTATATAATTATTACGCTTTATAAATTGGTAAAACACAACGTTTCATTCATTTGAATTTCAAAAATCTGGATTAGCATTTAATAAGTATGTATTTATATGTGGCCCTGGTAGGTAAAAGTAATATGGTGACCCCTGGTAGTAAAAGTAATAGTGTGACACAAGTGTTTTATGTGTTTATTGTGGTGTAAGTTTATATACCGTTAAGATAAAAGTAATTTGAGTTTTATTCAATAAAATCTGATGGAATGGGCTACCGTAAATGAAAAATCATTACAATAGATCACTACATTGATATAATTTTATGACAATAGTATACTTCCTTATTTCATCATGTCTTTAACTGCACAAAATTTACACAGCGATATACAAGGTAAGCTAGACGTGAAGACCTAGTTGGCTTACAATTTATCGGTCTAAGACTGATAAATCAAATTTCCTATTTAATAGGCTTGATAAAAAAAACAGAAGAAAAACATTTTTTTTGGTCGCAAAACGTTTCGTACTTTTGATTATCCATGGAGATAGAATTGGGTTAACGTTTAAAAAATATCTTCATTAAGACCTTTCCAGACTTCAAAATTCAAAAGTTTTAAAGTTAAGCTGACAAATCATACTGTAGAGTGAATGCACTATATGTACGTTTAGTGATAACCTGTGTAGTATGAACCAAAAGCATTGTCAGCTTACTACGTCTTAGACAGAAATATCAGCTATACGTAGCTCCTTTTATTTCCAAAATCAATACATTATGGTTTCATTCTGGGGATATTTTAATCTCTTAGAATAATAACAACAATAAATAAGGCTTCGTTTGATGAATTATTTGATACGAGCTTCTTAAGTTCTCGCAGAGTGAAGATGATAAGGTTTTGTTATAGATTGCTATTTTTCTTATTAAAGAGGTGCGACCTGTCTTTTATCGGAATCATTCGCCAAACTCACCTACATGTACAAATACAAATACAAACTGTATTTACTAGCTATAGTGGCACTCTAATTTACCGCTTCACGTTTTCTCGAATTGTTACAGTTATTACAGTTAAGGATGATGTACACCGACCCCAACTCATTTTATTAGAATGTGTCTTCAAAATCATAAAAAAAATCTGTTTGGATATATAGCTAAATGATCAGGATCTATAATTCACACTTGCATTTTTGAGAAGTTATGGCCAACCGAACCTTCCATCCAGCTGACTACATTATTTTTGCTGCAATGTTGATAATTTCAGCAGGAATTGGAGTTTTCCATGCTTTTTCCGGAGGAAGGCAATCAACCAACCGCGAGTTCCTAATGGCAAATCGTCAGATGAGATCTTTGCCGGTGGCACTTTCTGTGTTGGCTAGCTTTTTCTCAGCGTCCACACTTTTAGGAACCCCCGCTGAGATTTACCAATACGGGACCCAGTACTGGATGTCTGTGTTTGGGGCTATGTTGGCCCCTCTTACTGGAGCACTCCTGTTTGGACCCATGTTCTTCAATCTTAAAATTGTCAGCGTCTTTGAGGTAAAGTTAAAGTAAACTTTTAGAATTATATATACATATAGATTGATTCCAAAAAGAAACGAATCACGGACCTTAAGATATAATAATGATTAAATAAGTATTGATATGATCATCCGATTTTTATGTAAATTACTGGAGCAACTATACAACAGCTGTTCCAAATACATCGCGACTAAATTAAATAATTTGACCCAATGGAGACGATGTACAAGGTTAACTTGCCGAACAACACACCATCAAACTCCAATCCAAGTCGTCTGTTTGAATGTTCGAAGACTATCGCCCATATTGCTGAGATCGTATTGAAAAGTTTCTAGAATTTCACTACAGTGTCTTACAAATATTAGAAACTTATCGACTACTTTTAAGTAACAGTCGATAAAATGACTTTGTCGTAGCTGTTTAGTATAACAAATAGCCCCGCCGAAGCTCTCGATCTTGTCAATAATGTTCGATGAAGTATAAGGAACCTCCGAGGTTTGCCGTAACCTGCATGTCATGTCTAAATTCGTTCGAGTAGTGGCACGCTTAAAATACACATATCCTTGACATTGTTCTAAAGTGATCTATATATAGAAATTACAACATTAATTGAATCATGGAACTAGTGCACCTTTCTGTCTAGAGTTTGACTTTTCTTTCGATCGCCTATGATTCCCCCTCCCACCACCACCCAGTCGACTCCTAGGCTTTAAAAGTTACGCCATTAGCATCGCTGATGTGTCCTTATAATTACTCTAACACGAAGACAACACGTGCTTTGTGTTTGACAGAATATATTGCAGAGATATTGCATCTGTATCCTACGTTGAATATAGCGGTTCGCAGTTTCTATTCAATAAAAAAAGTGCAGATTTTCTACCTTTCTGAATCATTGGTTATCATGAGTAAACGCACAGCGTTTGGAACACACAAGAAGGAATCTGTCTCCGATCACAGTGTCTGTGATGGCTGAGAGAGGATGACAAGTTCTTGTTCATATTTAGGAACTGTTTCTTTTCAGTACCTTGTGTTTTTTGCGGTTTGTCTTGTATTGTACATGTTACTAATGCAAAAAACATAACACATATTTAATGTGCTCTCTTTTTCTAGTACGGCAAAGTAGTCTGCAGGCCACTTATAGGTATAACGGATTTGTGGTTTGCCACGTAACAATGTGTTGTTAATGTGTGTTTCTTGATCCATTCATAACAGAGTTTTGCAATTGCTTTTTCTGCTTCTGCATTTTGAGGGAATGAGTCGAACTTGGCGCGACATTGCCTCAATAGTTTGGGTAGCACTTTGTAAGCTGGAAAGTTTTGTTTGCTGGCACGTTCGAGAAAGAGACTTTATTTGTCTTTCCCTGATAAAGTCTGAGAATATTGGATACACATTTATGGTACTACATCTGCTAGAAACATTGAGATCAAGTAATGATCAAGGGTCATTACTTTAACGAAATAAAGATAAAATTTCATATTTACACCTAGGGTAAGCAACCGTCGTTCATGTTCTGTGCCTAGTTCACCCATGATAACGCCAAGATATCAAGAATTGTTATTTGATCCAGAAAGGACCGCAGATGGTTGTGGAATAGAAAATTTAACAAGCGTCAGAAACAAACTCAAGGTGTTATCGTAAATACAAACATTGAAGGCAAACATCGGTTGTCGCTTGTAATTAAACAGCATATTATACAATATATTTAAACGCGTGGATAACATACAATTGCTGTTTACTGATTACGTTCTGAACCTAAACCCTATCAATAGAATATTTTGCAAATGCAAATATTTCGCTGATAAATGCATTTGAATGGATGTTTGCAACTTGGTTTGACTTTCTTGGTATCTGGTAAGGTTATTGATTGGTATAAATTTTACATAGAACATAACATAAATAATTCGTTTATCTTAACTGCTTTAACTGCTACTTGTTTGAATCGCATGCAATGTCAGTATTCATTTTATTATCATTATCACGTTTTAAAATTTCGGTCTGTTTTGTTTATTGGTAGATATTTACTTATAAAACCATCCAGATATATATCACTGTTGATTTGATCGAAATGTAAAGAAAACATTCAAAACCAAATTCACTTTGTAAAGTCTCGTTAAGGCTTATTTTTTTATTAAAAAGACTACCTGATCGTAATCTTAGTATGACTATCATATTTTGTGGTAGTACGTGGTATATAAAAAATATCGAAATCTGTGGTAAGTCTAACCAGTAAGATTAACACAATGCTTTTAGAAATCGTATCACGAAGGATGGAATATTTCTGTCTTCATCACACAGTGGTGAATATTTTTAATTTGCTGACGGATTACAGTTGTGGTAACGCACTGCACACCAAATACTTCATGCATACATCGTTCGCACATCGTCCAAACATAAGCACTATACAGTATCTTGTGCATAACTGTTTGATAGCATTGCATATTTTGTGCTGTTTGGTAAATATGATGGTTAATATTACGAATTGAAAATTAAACGGAAAAATATTTTGTAGTTATGACTAAGTAGTGATCATAGACGTATCTAAATTGATCTGTGATTATAGAAGTAATCTTAATTCGACTGGACCCAGCATCAATTAGCTTTCTATCGTATAGTTTTACACCTCAGAAAGGTGTGTGCCTCGGGCAACAAATCTTACCTGTATACGAGTATATACGTGACAGGTTCGGATCCATACCGGCTCGGTTTTCTGTGTAGCAAAATCAATTCTTTAGATCTACCCGAAAGCATACATTTCTGTTTACAAAATCTAATAAAGGAGTGTAATACAGAAATGATGAAAATGAAATTTCCTTTCTGCCGATATGATATTTTAGATGATCCATTTTCGAGACAAAAAGAGACGCCCATTTAATGTTTACATGCATAATGTATATATAATGATTATCTGTGCACTAAGGCTGTGTGGCAGTTTGTTAACTAAACACTTTTAATTTGAATGTAAATACCTATTTAGCCTGTATCCGATAGATCTACATATGTCCAACCTATAGAATAAAGGCCTGATTAGGAAACGTATTTCGTTGTACTCTTATGTAGTTGGAAAATAAATAAACCATATATCAAACTTATCTATACGTTATTTCTAAATTTATATCAACCGTACTGCGGTTCCTGGCAAGACTCCATCCATTGTCATATATAGAATATAAGGAAAAAATTAATTCATGCACACATTTTAACGTGCACATCAGAATTATCACAAAGTTTAAATTTATTTATTTGAAATTAAGATTTTATTTATATTGGAACATAATTTGGTTTTATTTTTTACCTCAGTTTTTAATTACTTGGTTTGTCATTATTGAAACGAAAAGACCTTTCCTTTCGGAACACATTATCTGACATGTGTTCTGTTCATATTTTAATATTTTGGTGGTTCCTTTAATATTTTGTTTAAATGTTTACTCTCTCAATATTTTCATTTATCAACAGAAACATTGCTTAGAAGATGAAATCATCCAATTACAAATCGATTCGGAAATGTTTTCAATTTTGCTCATCTTGTCGGTGATTGCTCGTTATATGAATCCTGGACATTACAATTTATTAACTATGATAATAGGCACATTTGAGCTTTAAAACCTTTATCAGGAAAAACATATTAACCTTCAATGATTATCTGTTCTAAACTCATTTTTATGCCCAAAAATAAAATAGGAGAAGAGATATAGCGTTGCCCATATCCGCCCCGAGCGGATCTGTAGGAAATTCTTCAACTGATTCAATTCAAACAATTAATTCCTTGATGGAGTTTGTTCAAAAATACCATGTATAATTATACTATAGACATTAGACAGATCAAGCCCTTTGCGCAGGGACATTTATGCCTTACATACATGTTTAAAGGATAGGATTTTCAGTATCAGGAACAAGAAGTGAACAGGATATTTAGAAGGAATGACAATGTAATTCAAAGGTACTTTAACAAAGAGTAAAGATGAAATAAAAGGAACTCGGATAGATCCTAGTCAGACTCCACCCCATTGTCATCCATGCAATATCAGGAAAAAAGAATAAAGGCATGCACATATTTTTGACGTGCACACAACAATTATCACAAAGTGTTTTATACAATCAAACCAGGAATATAGTCTTTTTTCAGATTTTTTTTTTCAGAAACTGAGACTCGAGTGGCAGTCAATATTTCTACAGGTTTTATATGGAAACGAGAATCAATGTGTCAAATTGTTTTGAAATGAAAGTTTGTTTACTTGTATCTTACGAAAAATCAATCTTTTTAACGTTTGGCATCTTAATTGTTGTTTACACATACCTCAGCCGCTGCAGAGCACGCATTATTCCAATAAAAATCAATGTCGCTTGATTCTAAAAGTGCATACTTTGGTTCAACAACAACTTTCGGAGGTTAAACCATATCTAAAATAATGGCTTTTATTCTATGCTCATCGAACAGTTTTGAATTAAGAGGATCAGTTTTCCGATGAAAGTTGAAACATGTTTAGAATTGCTTGTACACAGGAAGTTTAACAACCAATACATATCTGTCTAGTGCAAAAGAGTGGATGGCTTGTAAGTGAATGGATGACAATGGTAAATGTTGCAGTTCTGTGTATGTTTGACATGATAAGCTCTTTGAATCATGGGGCTGGCGACATAATCAATTACCATTTCCAGTGGGTAGCTATGGAAAGGGAAAGCCATAGAGATATGCTAAATCAATGCCGGATCCGCAGTAATGATCATTTCAGTCGATATTCTGAATAGTTCTTTCGCATCAAGATTATCGTATTGTTTAGTGAATATTCATACGTATTTCCGCGTGCGTAATACTTTACATTATGCTATGAAAACAAGTTGTTTCGACATAAGAAAGTTTCAATGTGGTCAAAGATTAAAACATAGCAATGATACACTAGCGGTGATGTAAGTGATCGTGTCTTTTTCTGGTGATGAGATAATTTTCGAATTTTTACCGATCAGAGCGGTTCTTTCTATTTTCAGAGTTAAAATCTGCAGAATATTCTGTTTGTATCTAATGAAAGGGAAAGTTGCATTTTGTCAATCTTTTGCTGTGTATTCTTCGAGTCTCCCTTAAATTCCTATGTTATTGTTTGGCAGCAATTTGTACATTATACACACCATGGCACAGTTTTGTTCTCTAACGTAACCTCATAACTATTCAACGTGCGTTTTAAAGATATTATAGTGTTCCTTTTTTAACATGAAATAAACAGAAAATATAATTGTTTACCGTTAAATATACATATTTCATCCATGTAACGAAATATATCAAAAGATGTCCCTCGTGTAAGCATTATATAGATAACATGTTAAACCAAGGAAATATGTATGATATTTAACTGGAAACCATCAATATCATCTATATGTGCTTTACTATAAAACGAATTATTGTTCCTAACGTTCAAGTAAACTTAAACGTGTATCCTTTCTTTCCTGTTTAACTAATACTAAAAATACTATGAATATAATTAAATCATAAATCAACGATAAGCACATCAAATATAAGACAATGAAAAAAAAATTCAAGCAATTGACTGCGGTGAAATATATATCCTTTCCTCACAAAAGACATGGCACCTTTAATACAAATTTAGAGCTAGAGTAGAACAACTAAATAATGATAAAACTGCATCATACAGCTGTTTCACGTTTCTAGTACTCGTCAGTAATGTTAAGGGTCAATTTTTAAAGTCTGGGAGGCGACTGACAAAGTGATCGAAAGAAATATCAGCAGTCTCATGATTAAATAAGTTTCGTTATTTGCAAATATAAGATAATTTTAGAATAATGTCAAGTTCATCTGAACCGTGCCACTATATGAGTGAATTGAAACATGGCATGCAGGTTATGACAATTCCAGGGAATTAAACAGTCTACCAGCCATGTCTACCAACTCATATCTCATACATACAAACAAATCGAAACTCCAAAAAAACAGTTTCTAGAAGTTCTTGAATTATACACCTAGATAGTCTGGTATTGAAATCATTCTTCACGCTTTATTGCTTAACTTTCCACGCCTTAGCCAGTATAATACGTTGTGATGTTGTTATCACGGTTCCTGTTGATTTAATGACCACGTGACATCGTGAGCCATTGAAATACTGGTCAGCAACTAGTAGGTCACATGAATCCCCATAATTCCGCGTTCTTCTCGTAGGGCACATCCTGTTCATATTTTTTGTTTTTTAATCACGTGCTTTCAAGATCATTACATTTCAATCTATATTCTTGAATTTTCCAATCATCCGTGGGCATCTACCACAATAACAAAAAAAAAAAAAAAACAAACAAAAAACAAAAAACAAAAACAAAAACAAAAAATCCCGAAAAAGCAAACAAACAGGCAACATGAAAAAAAATATCAAATGCATAAGGTTGTCATTGAAGATACAACCCATTACATATAACAGCGATACCTGGAACGAAATGATTAGTCATATTTCAAAATATGAAATCAATAAACTGGGTGGATGCATGAAGAAGTAAACAAATATGTATTTTATAGTGGTACATACAATTTAATATATTTTGTTTCTTTCCAGTATCTGGAATTACGATTCAACTCAAAGTCTGTTCGACTCTTCGGGGCGACATTGTTTCTAGTGCGAGCTGTAAGTATGAAATAGAGCAAAATTTTGTTTTCATACAGAATACATACCTTTGATATTTTACAGTATATATTCCCTGTAGTGTTGATCACATTTCGTTCGGTATATGTTTATTAAGAAAAATCGATTTGTTTTTCTAATCACTGACTTCAGTCAGTGAAGCATAACGTTATATTGACATTGTCATGGCCTGACTGTACTTGTGTATTGATCGTTTGTTGATAGAAAATGTTTTGATCGCGAACGGCTTTATTGATGCGAAAAAGACCATCTCTTTCTACGTTTAAGATACCCTTTACTTGTGTGCTGTTTAGGCTCTCTCCGAGATTGGGCATTGTAAACATCAATGGTGAACGTACGTCCCCAATGTCTTCCATAACCCACATTCGATTTTTTCATGTATTCGAATAGTGGTATAGTTCAGATTATACGAACGTAATGTTTTCCTGAAACAGAAAATCATATGACTGCACTTCAAATCTGGTTTTTAAATTTTTCTTTCGGTCAATTTTGATATTCCTCATCCGTCTCAATTTATGTCCTTAGTATCACTGCGAGTACCAGAAGGACGACACATCAGTATTGCGCAGTTCTGTATTTTCAGTACTGTATCTATAGTGTATCAGATATACCGTTGGTGTTAAATGATTTTCTCCTTCGGTGATGGAACACCTGACCTAAAACCGTACATTCAGGTCGATATTGAAATTTTTGTATTCTTCTTTTGGATTTTCATACTTTTGGCCCTTAGCCTGACAATCGAGTCCTAAAAGGACGGAAAAACCCCTGTATGATGCCGCATCATTTACGTGTGCTCAAAGACATACTCATTATGGAGGTAATAAAAGTCCCTATTCAAGTGTCTTTGTATAATCTTCCGATGATTGAACGACACACAAACCTATTTTCCCTAGGAGTTATGATCATCGTTGTCTCATAGATTTTTTTCTCTACATAAACGATAATTTGACATCTTTATTGGACCTAGTACACTTCACCGTCTAGATTTTGACTTTTCGTTCATCCTAGCAGGACGGAACGGATGTATGATGCAGCTCTAACTCTAAATTTGTAATACTCCTTTATTCTATAAAAAATATTTTACTGAGAAATCCATTAGTATAGATGTTGCACGCGATTCAGTAGATTCTGTTTGATTACAACGTGAAAAGTCCAAAGCGTATCGATTAACAAGGAACATCAAACACAAGTACTCTGAATCCAATAAAAAATGTTTCTGCCTGGATAACGAAGTCCTTTTCAGTCTAAGGTAAATGAAACCTTGTTCTTTCCTTATTTTCGCTAACATAACAAACCCCACGAACGTATGTATTGGATGAATTTATTTATTTATCTGTTCATCTAGATATGTTTTACCATGCAATGTCCGTAATATTAAATTAATCAATAGTGCCATGATTTCAATCTTTCATGTTTCTTTCGTACAATAAGTTCAATGACATTGTGTTTGTTGTTTACGCAGACTCTGGGGATGGGCATAGTTCTGTATGGGCCATCCACAGCTCTTAGTGCAGGTATATATAAACCATTACATTATTTGTGACGTGTCTGATAGGTTTTACATTGCATAATTAAAAAAAATGGAAAGGCTCATTACATAAGACTAATGGTATTAGTTATTGATTATTGCCTATATGAGAATGTCATTATAATATATTTTAAAAAATAAGGCATGATTGCTTACGATAATATCTTGTTGATAACATAATTCATGAAATTGTTCATAAGAGATGATTGCATTGCTTATTAGAAAACATTGTTCATGGTTAAATTAGTATTATAATAAGCTAATTAACTGTAATGTGACACGGTGGAAAATAATCGATATTTGGTATACTCAGCAAAGATAGTCAATTTTAATCACAAATTTGGAAAAAAGTGCCATAGCGAATAACATGTCCTCAATTTTACAATAGCTTGACAACCCGATGACGTCATTCCTTTTAATCTAGGATTCTATAATTCAATTAAGACTAAGGCTACTTTTCTGACTGCAATATCTTATCTCAGTGACCAACTTTCCCGTCTGGGCCATCATATTAATGGTTGGAGGGGTGTGCACATTTTACACGACACTGGTAAGTAAACGTCTCCCAAGCATATGTTCATACACATAATGTGAAAGAAAACCAGACATACAAACAAAGATACGAGGGCTAATTGATAAGTTGTGAGCTTTGAATTGGAGAAATTAAGCAGGTATAACCTTTTCCAGCTCTACTATTCCCTGACTACTTAAGGCTGTGTACCCAAAGTCTGATGTCATTTGGCCAGTTTACGTCAAGGAGGTAGTACTCTAAAGTAAACAAGGCAAGTGACTTTTGCAAAATGGACAAACCGCACCTAAGCACTTAAGGATATCCATACTGATACGGCAGCAACACTAGGAAATGATGCCCCTTCATATACGACAGTAAAATAGTGGGATGGCGGAATTTAAGCGTTGCAGACAGAGCCTTGAGGACACCCGTCCTGGAAGACCTGTTGGAACTCCAGAAATAGTTAATAAAGCCAATGATATCGTTATTGCTGAGAGAGGCTTAACAGATATATATATATAACCAGCACAGTTGGGATTTCATTTGAAAAAGTACATGCCATTCCTACTGACGACCTTGCAATGAGAAAGCTGTCAACCCAATGGGTACCAATATTTCTGACAGTTGATCCGAAGCACATCAGGCAGACTTTGTCGCATGCTAATCTGAGCTTTTTGAGGTAGATCCAATGTTGCCACTCACGATTGTGAATTTGAATTGATTAAGCATCCGCCTGATCTCGCTCCAGGAATATGTTGAAAAAATATTGCAATATGTTCGCCAAAAGTCATAGCTTTAAATAAAAGGATCACAGCTTATCATTCAGCCCTCGTATGTCCATCCTGTGTTTAGACAATAGATTGGCCCTCTTACCACGTTCTTTAGGGAACAGGTATTCCGTTTTCCAGACAGACTTAATGGACATATAACGTCTCACCGTCCATACAAGCAATGTCATGTTTATCTTCTCGTTTTGTGAACGGTGCAATCACTCTCTGTTTTCCTAAAACGAAGCTGCATTCATCGTCAAGACTTCTTTCCTAGCTTATACCTTCTTTAGGGAGGAATGAGAGCTGTAATATGGACTGACGTTTTCCAAACCTTAGTCATGCTTGTTGGTATGATTGCTGTTTTCATACAGGTGAGCAAAAATTAATTTCTCATAAATTTTTTTTATTCGCAATTACTAAAGATATGGAAATCATACTAAACTTTCGATTCTGACTCAAATTAGACCCAATCTGAATGTTTTACCATTTCTCACTATATACCACGTTACATTAAGGACTTGATGGAGTCCCGTTGAGATTTTGGTTCCAATGGTCATAGGTCAAAGAGTCTATCAGAAAATCGTTGCTATGTTTCGGATGGCAAAATTCGGCACTTTGTGCAAAAATGCGACTAGAACATATCCGGCGTTGTTAACGAAACTAAGAAGACGGTAATAACGTGAACGCCATCAAAATAGTTTAATAACTCTTCCAATATTTGTTCTACGTATGAAATGTAGCTTTATTTGGTGACACAAGACGGTTGTCACATTACTACGAGATATAAAGGCCAAAATCACTATCGAAAACATTTTAAACAGTTCTTAAATGTCATAGAAAGGGTTAGTTTGATCGGTCAATTTTCAATTATATATGTTTACAGTGAAAGGACAAAAGTTCACTTGAAAAATGATTCAAACTGCACTTCGTCAGATTTCAAGTTTTTTAAAGAGAAATGAAAGATAAGTTGTTTCATCTGGCACAGTGAAGTTGATTGTTATTATATAAACAAAATACAATTAATTAGTTTCTGGCCAACACTTTCATCTCGCATTTATGTATCTTCATAATTACACTTATCGGAATGCGAAATGTCGAATTGCATTTTGAAGACAAATTCGTTTTACAAGCCTTGATGTTAAGCATTGTGTACCATCCCTCGCATGCCATTAGAATTTCCGCACAACTTTATCATAATCATGGATAAGGTTTGCATTACACAAAAGTGCGGTCGCTAATTTATAACATAAAGAGTCGATGATTGCCAACAACGTTTATAGAAACTGTCCTTGGTTGTAATACTGTTGTGAAATGAGATAAAAATTTATTTGATTAATTAAACGCTTTGCAACCTCATTGTACAGATTGGATGTGAATATAATTCTGTTACAGACTAACATATTCTAGTGTTGCTTGGTTTCTTTTCAGGGGTCTATTCAAATTGGAGGACTGAGTGAAATGTGGAAAATTGCGTACGATGGTGATCGAATTGAGTTCTTTAAGTAGGTTTGGTGCTTTCAGAGACCGTTATTTCTTTAACATGGATTTAGTATGTAGGTTTTTGGAGAAACCAATATGTTACACTGGTGTTATGTGGCATGATGCTAGAGGCGGGGGAGAGGGAGGGAGGAGGCAAGAAGGCTAGGTTAGGGGTTCGGGTCAGAATCAGATACGTTGTGGATGAGGGTGAAATATTAACAGATTTATACATGTTTTTCGATTGTTATTACCTTGTGCTTATGATGGCTTGTAGTGGATAAAAACTTCGAGAGGCGATATACGTTCCCTAACGGCCCGCGACGTTGTCGTGTAGGGTAAATAACGACAATTAACTTGATACAGGTAAAGGATGGCGTGTGTGGGGTCTGTTGTCAGAGACGACGCCTTATCTATGAGATAAAAAACACTCGGGATAATATCAGCGGTTTGGGGAAAACTGAACTTTATTCGCTTCTACTGTTGTAATAATGTAAAACTTGTGTAAATATAAATTTCATTTACGTTGTATTTTTAATCAGTTTCGACACAAATCCCCAAGTGCGTCATACCTTCTGGTCTCTAGTTGTTGGAATTTATTTCGTATGGCTTCCACCCTACACTGTCGACCAGCAGATGGTACAGAGATTTTCCTCCGCCAAATCCCTGAAGGACGCCAAATTGTAGGTACCTTGGTTTTCTCGCAAATAAAGTAATGAAAAATACTACAAAAAAATATGTGATAGAAATTGAACACTTTATCAATACTACACGTGTTAAATATGTTGTGATGTCTTGGATTTGTCTTTTGGAATCAACTTTTTTAATTGCTTTGGATTGGATGTGAGGGTCTCCTGTGTGTTATTCAGGGAGGTGACAACCAGCTGCTACAAGGTGACCATCTTTAAAATGACTTTGGCTGTTGACGAGCCAAAAAGCCCAGCAAACTAACGATTACTGATTTGATAATAATAAAATATTGCCAAAAATTAAAAGAATCTATCGTGTGATACTATAAAGTTTATTTGTTCGAGCGTTTCTGCATTGTTGATAAATGATTTTATTTCTTCAACAACCAAACTCAAACATATGGTTGATTCACAACGAGTAAGTCTTTATTGTTATGGGTTTTCTTGTGCTTATTTCTGATAGTTACTTAGAGAACATGATAACCTCCGCTTATAGCACTACACTGACATTTTGCAGATTATATATTTATTTCAGTACTCAGGTAACCTTTATATACATATACATTACGTGTCATATGGCCATACACACGCTACTGGCTGTGCACGTACATATAAAATGAAGAGAGGTAATGCACATAAGGACCCTGAACACTTGGTGTTAGTGTATTTATAAGCCATAAAACATTCGGTTACCACACCTATCACTGTATACTCAATGTTTTATAACGATATATAACACATAAGGACTATGAACATTTATATAATTTCAGGATTTGTTTGTTCATAAGCCATACTATACTCACACCTATCACTGTAGTCTCGCAGGCATTATAAAGAGATATAACACACAAGGATCCTGTACATTTATTTCATTTCACTGTTGGTATGGTTCAAGCAATACTATCATCAAACCTATCACTAAATATTGCAGGAATTATAAAGAGCTATGGGCCATAAGGGCCTACGAATTCCTACCTTAGTTCTGTATGGATAATTTATAAGCCATACGGAAAAGTATATAAATGTATTTGATGACACTATTCATTATATTTCAGTGCCTTACTATGTAACCTACCAGGCATGCTCATTCTTATTACTCTGTGTTCGTTAGTGGGCGTGGTTTTATATGCAAATTATGCTACCTGTGACCCACTGAAAAACAATGACATTGAAAACGCAAACCAGGTAAGATTTATCTTTGTATGTGTAAAATATTCCAACCCTGTTTAATCAAGTAAATGTTACTTTTATATGTGTAAAATCTGTCCAACCCTGTTTAATCAGGTAAAATATATCTTTATATATGTAAAATCTGTCTAACTCTGTTTAATCATATGTTAATGTTGACCTATGATTTCTTTTTAGTATTGTAATGGAAATAAATGAAATACTGTTTCTATGACAACAGGTCGTTTGACTCAGCCTTACACTCATTCATCATGCATTGAATCTTCTCTCCGAAACACAAATAGAAAACAAAAAACCTCTCCTTTTAGGAGCTCATCTTGGTTCAGGGATGTTCGAAAAGATTAGTTTAATCAAATAAAGGATTGATAGCGAAGGAGGAAACATATATCAGCCATCGAAAAGGACATAGTCCGTGTATATCTCTTAATTGTATGTTTTCAGTAGATTTCTACGGAAGGAAATTTATAACCCTATCTACTTATGATAACGAAGCGCTTTGTTTCAGTTGCTGCCATATTTCGTGATGGAAATATTTTCTGATCTACCTGGCTTACCTGGACTGTTTGTAGCCTGTATTTTTAGTGGTGCACTGAGGTAAAGTACATTTTACATACATCTTATCATTTTTAAAATTCTTACAAATAAGAGACATTGGGTCTTATGTTGGAAATAATTTTGAACAAAGTGAAATCGGCTTTCCTCCATTACTGAGTGAATTAAATGTTTCCCGCTACCTCAAATCTAAAATGTCATTGAATGGCACTGATTGCTGATAGGACGTAAATCACGATAAACGAAATTACGTTATTGGTATGTTCTTAACATTTCATATAATTTTTGCAGTTTGAAGGCTTACCCCAAGGGTTTTTAAAGGAATTTTGTTGTCCTTTGCATGGAAAATAAATCTATTGATCACACTATTAGACTAATTACAGGATAAAACTTTTATATATAAAATTCGACTTTCTTTAATGTCAGTTTTTCTTGATATTGACGCTCTAACTTATCATATTTTAATGATAAATACATAATATATAAATATATAAGAACTTATTTCAGAGTTTCCCAGTAATAAGTACTTTTCAGTTGAAATGTTTCTTTATATTATTTTCAGTTCAGTGTCTTCCATGTTGAATTCCTTGGCGGCAGTCACATGGGAAGACTTCCTGAAACTTAAACTAGACAAGGTTGATGAAGCAATGGCTACAAAAATTACAAAAGCTCTAGGTAACAGTGCTTTCCTTCGCAAACTCTCGATATAATGTCAGTCTTAGCCTCCTAACAAGTAGTTGAATATCCCATTTCTGTTCATTTATAAGCATCATATATCAAACAATGTTTGCTTTCACAAACCTCGGTATAATGTCATTAAACCCGCTTGCCTTTTCGCCTACTGTTAAACTGATTTAGGATTCTATTTCTGCGTTATTAAAGAAGAATATATACTTTTCTATAGTGAATAAAGACTGGAATTCCAACAATGGTTACAGGTCATCATCTTCATGTTAACTGCTTACGTCACAGCTCATTACTTTCGGTACTTCCCCGTCTTTACTTGACAGTGTCCTTCATTAAGAAATGGTGTCTTCTCATTCATATATATCTATGATTATTCGTTTTATTAGCAATCAATGGCAGAAGGATAAACGAAACATTTTCAGAGTGGTTTTTCGGTCAACATGTGTTATGTTGAACCCTCGGACCAAACGTCGGTCTCAGGCAACAGTTTAGTCCTCAGGTTTAACATAACATATGTTGACCTTGAACCCAGCCAACAAATGTATAATGCAATAACTACAACCTTTCCCTGATAGGTTTTATTGATTTTTTATTATGTTCCCGTGTCGATTATTTATAACCTATATTTAATTGCCAGTGGAATAGATATAGAGAGAACTCATTTTTTATATAGCCTCTTCTTCGTACGATACTGGCAATAAAAGGAAGGAAATCTAACGTCCCGTTAATTGTAAAACGTCATTTTTTCATTCAATACAACATCATTCTAGAAGCAAATAGAACAAGATAATGAATTAAGCTGTATCTCTTTATAGAACGCAACGTGTTTATGGTAAAATTGCTAACAGATATTTAAGTGTTGTATTTTGTTTACATAACTTATTTTTAATTTGAAGCTTTGTGTCCTGTCTGCAGTATTAATGTGTATCAAACTTTGTGGGGATTATATATCTTTAACTAATGCATATCTATATCTGTCATCAGCGGTGTTTTTACATTTCCTATTTTTTGTGCCTACTGTAACATCTTAGCTGTCTTTCTTTTTACCTTACTGTGAAATCCACCAAACAGCTGTGGTGTTCGGTTGTTTGGGCGTTGGAATGGCTTTTGTGGTGGAACAAATGGGAGGAACAGTACTTCAGGTAGAAGTTCTTCATTCCAATTAGATTTGATTTTAATTTTTATCTGTAACAATTTTTTTAAAGATTTCTATTCGTCATTTGAAACCTTAGGAAATTTCAGATTCCTGCATCAATCCTACGTTGTTATTTATTACTGGTATACTTTCAAATCAATGAAGTAAAGCTTCGCGACTATACGAGATATATAACCTAAATATCTTCATGGGCCTTGTTCCTTATTCGATGACAAATGTTACATATGAAAACTGATCAAAGGAAAAGGACAGTACATAAATTGATTCGGATTCAATATAAAAAATGCATTGATATCTTATTCTAGTAAAAACACGAGAAAAATTCATAAAATATTTAACATTTTTCAACAATACAATGATATATAATGCATGTATTCGTTGGCAGGCCTCTCTGACGTTCAACGGTGCTATAGGCGCTCCTTTAGTCGGTGTGTTCATTCTTGGAGCATGTTTTACACGAGCAAACTGGATTGTAAGTGATAATTTTACGTTTATCTTTTGCAATCATGACACGTACTACAGGTAGGGCGTAAAATTGTTCCTGCTTATATCTATGAATGATGATAAAATGTGACTAATTCGGGATATTTTTTCCAAAAACTAGATTCATTGACCCTGCCTCACTTTTAACCTTTCGTGTTGATCGTTTGTCTCTGTGAGGTTTTGTGTTCTTTCCTCTGGCAAAGGCATAACAGAATCTATGTAATGATAGTAACTATTCCCGCCTGAACATTGTGGTAGTTTAACGACTAGTTTCCCCGTTGTCAGTATAAGACCAGGTGGTGTATTCTGCATTTCAGTGCGGTAGCACTATAAAGATGGCATTAGTTCTACACTATCACAAGGATACTTTCAATAACGTATGTATATATAACCGAATAAAACAGAGAAACTAATAATAAAATACACCTATATTCGAAAAAAATGTTATATACGTACTATGGAAATCTAGAATACCTCACTATTGCCTGTAATCAACAAGACTAAGCATTTCTATAAAATTTACAGGGTGCACTGGCCGGAGGTATCCTTGGATTCATCTTTCCGATATGGCTTGGAATAGGAAAATATGTGAGACAACCGCAGAATTTTAGACTTCCAACAAACACCATGAATTGTTCTGATGAAAATATGACGTCAACGCCATATCTCAACACAACATTGTCCTTCATGTCAACGACATCATCGGCCATCGATCTAGAATTTGCTACAAGTAACGGAACTATCACCTCATCTACAGAACTGTACGTAAAAGTAATTAAAATGGTATTATTCGCTCTCTCATCATAAATTAATCATTTTTGTTTAAAAAGATGGTAATTTTTTTAAGCAATTCGCTGTTCATTTCTCTATATTTTGTGCCCTTACTGGCGTAATTCGTATAATTTGAAGAAAAAATCCAGGCTTTGACTGTATCACGTACAAACGGGTCTGTTTGGAGGTTTCTTTTACGGATAAGAAACACCGCGATTATAAGAGATTCCGTAAATTCAGTAATTTCCATTATGTTGATATGTTGTTTTTTTTCAGGACTGGTCTAGATAAATTGTATGGAGTGTCCTATCTATGGTTTAGTGCCATAGGCATCCTTACCGTAGTGGTCATCGGTCTAGTGGTCAGCTGGGTGACCGGTACGTGCTCGCATTCATCCTTTTTTTGTAATAATGTTTAAGGAAACATGCTTTATTTTAGTAAAAATTACTTCTTCACATATGAGTTCCACAATATGAAACGTCTTTGAATTGATTAATTGGTTTGACGTCTTACACCTATTTTACCTATACACAATAACAACATCCCTCGTAAAAATTAATATCTCTTATCTTACCAAGATGTTGGCACTGATATGGAAATCCGTTAACGATTGGAATGACAAATATGGAATTTTCAAAGGCGGAAACTGATTGTTTCTTCACAAATTTTATGCCAATTTCAGCCCGTTAATGCCAGAGGTCAAATGAGAAATAAAAAAGAATATGATGGATAGATTTAAATAAAAAAAAAAAAAAAATAGATGAAAAGATAAATAAATAAAAGGACAATGCTTCGAGGTATTTATATATACAGTAGTTGTGATTGAGTGTCAAAGCGGACAATATGTTTATTGTTCTACAAGATGAACGGGGTTCGATTTTCCGTTAGGACGTGAAAAGATATGGTGTCACCTGTGTGACATTATTGATGAAATGTAAGACTATTGTCGAATATTTCAATTACCTATGTTCGCAATTATCGAACAATGGTGCCATTCAACAACTATTTGTACATTTATAAGGTTTGCCTTCGTTTGGTATATATATTATTAATCATCTTTCTTTATTGGACGCCTGCTGAACAACCAATTGTTATTGTTTGTTATCCGAAATCCAGAATTGATTATCATAGGTTATTTCCTCAGATAAAACTGGCCAAAGTTCTTCTACAAATAGCGCCTGATAGAGGAAGAATTAAATTTCGTGATGAAAGAACTACATTTTTATCACAGGCGATATTATGTTGGATATGTTTGATGCTTGTCAGCTTATCTGTTGGTTACATCGCTGTTTACCCTTTTTTCCATTTGGGAGCTTTACATATGCTACTTGTATGGACCAAACTTTACACGACGAATGTCGTCAATGAAGTAGAAGACGGTTTCTTTTTTAGAACACCTGGGCCCATATTCATCATGAAACCATTTTCATGCTAAAGCATAGATTTTGTGCTCAAGCAAATGTTTTAATAATTCACCTAAATTATAAAAGATAATGCAAATGTCAAAGATAATTTTGACTTGAAGTCCTTTCAAAATTTGTTTTTAATCTTTGGCAACATCAGCCTTATTTACTACTTTTTAACTTAAACAAGACATAAGGCTTGAGCACAAAGTTCATGCTTGAGCATGAGAACGGTTTCATGAATACGGGCCCTGGTCTTAATCTTGTAATTTTTAGGAGTCTCATTGTAAATCTTTCTTTTGTTCACATTTTGCCATAGTTTTATTGAATTTGAGTTTGGATTATGATTCATGGCGAAACCAACAGATAGGGATTGGATAAAAGCTAGGCTTGGAAAAAGACAATTTAAATAACAAGGACTGTGTTTGAACATTTTTGTACATAGCATTTAATACATAACTGACATCTTCTGCTATCAAATGATATGAAAACAATACCATATTTAATCAATGTAATTATAGTCAATATATTTGCAAGCGATCTTTTGGCAAATCTAATGAAAAAAAAGTTTCGTCAAAAATTTTCAAGAAGAGCATCATAATTACATTCAGAAATGTTTTTTATTTTTCTTTTACCAACACAACCAAGTAATGGGAACAGCCTAAAAATGGCGCGGCTTCCATTGTGACGCCATCATACATTGGGGTCAGTTGCAGTGTAACCTTATGATTATTCTTATAATTTTATAATTATATTTTTTAACATCTTTGATGCTAAATGTAAATAAAAATACCGTTATGCAAAAGGTACAGCAGAAGAAAACGAAGTGGCTGACAATTTACAACTACATTTCTGGAGAAGAATCTATCAAGCAGTTATACCTCATCGCTTTAAAAATAAAGGCTCTGAAGTAAGTATTGGTATTATAGGAACGTTACTATAAATAAACATCGCTTAGGATTCATAACTATTCGTTCAATTTCGTTGTAGTATTTTGTTTTTGTGATATACTAATAATGTTTTCAGGCAAAAAGAAACACTAAGCCTCGTTTTCAAATATCATATATATTTGCTTTTAAAGTGACTTATTCATGATCGATGACGTCATGTATAAAAGAAACGCCTATATTAATGATCTTATTCTGCTAATGTATACTTAGCTGTTCAGTTTTGGCGTCAGATATTGTGTTCCGTTTATTGAATGTCCAATTTGAGCACAATCGTAATGCTGAGTTTATTTAGGCTGCTGTTAAAGTTTTATAATGAACATGTCTGAGTAAAGTAAGGTTTCACCTTGACGAAGATTCGAACATTTAACATCTAAAATCAACGCCGTCGATAGATACAAAAACAATGTAGAATCTAAGAGAGAGCATTAATTGCTGAAACTTTAAGATTACTTTGAAGCTCAAGTTCTAAATGGAAATAACATGAAACGTCTAATTATTTATGTGTTTTATTTTCATTGGAAGTCATTTACTGTAAAATACGTGTATTTTGCGTCCACTTATTTCACGGAACTTTCAATTATTATCATCTTCACGTCTGAATCTAACGAACAAGACTTAGGCTTAAGGTTTGTACATACGAAAGCTGTTTGATAAGTTGTGAGCCTTGTATTGCAGAAGATTAGCAGGGATGTCCTTTTTCAGCTCGACTGTTCCCTAACTATTTAAGGCTGTGAACCCGAACACTGTTGTCATTTGGGCAGTTTATATCGAAAGAGGTAGCACTCTAAAGTAAACAAGGCAAGTGACTTTTCAAAATGAACAAAATCGCTGGAGGAGCAGTGATTCATAATTTGCATAGGAAAGGGGTATCACCTAAGGATATCCATACAGTTATGGTAGCAACACCAGGGAATATGCTACAGTGAAAAGGTGGTTGGTAGAATTTAAACATCGTAGGCAGAGCATTGGGGATGACGCCCGTGTTGGAAAGCCTATAACTGTGGCAGCCCCGGAAACTATCAATAAAGGCCATGATATTGTTACGACTTACATGCGAGTTATAGGTTTATATGTATACCATGTACAGTTGGAATTTCACAGGAAAGAATACATTCCTATCTTACAGACGATCTTGCAATAAGAAAACTCTCAGTTCGTTGGGAACCGATACTTCTGACACTTGATCAGAAACACATCAGGCGGACTTTGTCGCGTACTAATCTGAAACTTTTAGAGGCAGATCCTGCTAGTTTTTTGCAGATGTTTGTTACCATGGATGAAACGTGGGCCCGTCATTTCACCCCAGAGGCCAAACAACAGTATTAAAAATGGAAGTCCCCTGTTTCAACCCCGCCAAAGAAGGCAAAAACTGTTCCATCAGCTTGAAAGGCTATGAGTTCGGTTTACTAAAAATATTGATGGTATCCTAATGGTAGATTAAATGCAAAAGGGACGAACAATTAATGACATCACTCCTTAGGCAGTTGAAGAAAACATTAAACTCAGCACCGTAGAAAACTGAGTAAAGATGTGTTGTTCCGCCAGAACAATGCCCCTGTTCACGAGTCTGTCATTGCCAGCCCCTGTTCACGAGTCTGTCATTTCCAGCCCCTGTTCACAAGTATGTCATTTCCAGCATCTGTTCACGAGTCTGTTATTGCAAGCTCTTGTTCATAAGTCTGTTATTGCCAGCCCCTGTTCACGAGTCTGTTATTACCAGCCCCTGTTCACAAGTCTGTCATTTCCAGCTCCTGTTCAGAAGTCTGTCATTTCCAGCTCCTGTTCAGAAGTCTGTTATTGCAAGCTCTTGTTCATAAGTCTGTCATTACCATCCCCTGTTCACAAGAATGTCATTGCCATGGCTGTCATCAGCGATTTTAGCTTAGAACTGATTGCGCATCCACCTTATTCGTCTGATCTCCAAAACTGAAAAAAAGACCATTTCCTGTACTCCCTTTCGGTCAGATGATGACGTCATATATGCAATGGAGGACTTCCTGAAAGGTCATGAAAAGGATTTCTTTAAAAAGTGGCATGGAGACCAGTAAATATCGCTGGCAAAAATGTATAGATATTAAGGTGGATGATGTTAAAAAATAATGTAAAATGTCCGCTAAAAATCAAACCCTTAAATATGAGGCTTAGATCTGATATGCATATTTAATAAAGGTTTCCTAGAAAACAATCATCTAGAAATACATACATGTATTAATAATCTAAACTGATTGCTTTCCCCAGACAGAAGAGGAGATAACAGGAATAGGAGGTGAACATGACAGAGAACTGACAAAGGATTATGCCTGTGTTGATGATGTCACAACATCGTTGTAAAACGTCATGAGTTTTTGTGCTGCCATTATAATTTCAAAAGTGCAGATATCATAGCATGGATAACAAACAACTTTCAATGTTTGGCTTGTGTACAATTATTGCACTAACGTCGACATACATACACAAACTGTGTATTGGTAGAGATATACAGATGTACAATTTCAAAAACTCATTACATACAGTTAAGAATCGTTCATGTCACAAATGCATTCAGACCGTTATATCTAAAGCAGCACCATGAAATATTAAACGGTTTGAGAATTTCAACTATCGTACACTTGTATGTTAACATCTGTTTCCTATCTACTATTCGACGAGCATAAAATAACAATGCCACAGTTTTACTTTCTCATTTCCATTTTAAAAACAGATTAATACGTTTCATTTAACATCAAGAAGGTAAGCTAGTCAGTCTTTCTATGAGAAATGAAGGACAAGTGAAGATTCTTATTGAATCACGTCAGTTGACACTCTTTATATGTCAATCTGCAAGGGTCATTCCTAAACGTCTAAGTTGTCCTTCTTTTGTGAGTATTCTTCAGTGATCATTCTACAGCCTTCAATTGTCAGCCTTACGATTTTCGTCTTCAGCAGTCAGACCTAAGTTGTCCTTTCGTCCGTGGTCTGTCAACAGTGGTCGGTCTTAAGTTACCAGTCTTCAGTTGTAAGTAGTAAGTCTTCGTATGGTGTCTTCGCTGGTCAGTTGCAGTCGTCCGTCTTCACTGGTCAGTTTCAGTTGACAGCTTCGTTGGTCGACTTCAGTTATAAGTCTTCAATTGCCAGTATTCAGTTGCCAATTAAAAGAGTATAGTCTTCCGTTCCCAGTCTTCAATTGTCAATTATTAGTGGTCAATCTTCAGTTGTTAGTGGTTAATATTCAGTCGTCAGATGTCAGTGTTCAGTTTTTCAGTTGAAGGTCCTTATTTACCAGTCTTCAGTTGTCAATCATCGGCGGTGAATCTTCAGTAAGCAGTTTTCAAACTTCAGTTGTCAGTCTTCAGTGATCAGTCTTATGTTATCAGATAACAGCGTCAAAATGACAAATATTGTTTCACAGAATCATTTAAAGCAACTTATCACAAGTTACCAACCCACTCATACGTGAGGAACAGTTTCCAGTTATGATCTATACAGCATATTATGTTAATGTTATCAAGTATAAAATTGTATTTTGCAGCGTTCAAGGTGACAATATATAATATCAACTGCTAATGAATGCCTGTCACCAATACGTTGTTGACCGCATACAAATTCTTGTTACATTTTAAAAAATAAAGTATAGAATGAATTTCTGTCTTGTAAAATGCTTTGATATGTGAAATTTGTCAACCGAAATTTTAAAACATACGTCAGCTAAACAATGTTGCATGCAATTATCTACACGGAGAAAGCTGTACTATATTCTATTGACCTCACGAGATAAGAATTGGAAATCTTAAACGAACTTGATAAGTCTAGTGTCTTTTTGACCTGGACATCCAAGCTGTCGGTATGGTGGGATATCATGTCGTTGTCCTGACGGTTTTCCTGTTTTCTACTGTGGAGAGTTACACTCTAAAGAAGCTAGGATCATTTCCAATATCATATCCCGGATTTACCACCGTTTATCCCAGATCCTCCGGGGAAGTTGACCTACTTATATCTACATTCAATCCGATCCCGTTCTCCACGGATACAGCTCAGATTGTTCCAGGAATCGGTCATTACCTAAACAATGTACAGTCAATCAAGCCTGCTCTCATTACAAGTCACGTGACGTGGCCAAATGAGGTATCCGGAGTTCCGGGTGAGTGATTCCTTGAAGAAATTTGACATCATTATTTCTATATATACACAGGTAACATTTACATACATCATTTAATTAAATCTCATTATGTATTTATATACAGATTCCATTTACAACTAAGTATTGGTTTTTTTGTTTTATTTATGAGGTCAAATGGAACAATTAATGAGTTACGGACGAACAATTTATCGACTACTCAATTAGCTTTATCATAAACTACATGAGCACAACTCTATTTATCTTCCCCCCAGGATTGACTTCATATTAATAACAATGTACCAACACCATCTGGTAACAGTTTATTGTTTAAATATTTACATAGTAAATATTATCGATGCAGAAGAAAGACCCTTCCGAAATACTTATTCTCCCTATATATCTATCTTGATTATGTTGATTTTGGTCTTGAATTTTTTCATATTTTCATATTTGTTTTGTGAATTTATTGGCACTTATTTATTTAAGAGCACGTGTTCGGAAGGCGAATGGTAGCGATCCCACAGGGATTCCTGGTACCTTTTAAGAATGATGGTTCCATATCCTTAATGGACGTTTCCATGACAGCACCTAAAGGTCCGTACAAAATAACTGACGACAGTTCCGGAAAATGGTTTTACCACAGGGTCATATGGAAGGACATGGACGCCGACGGTGATGACGATGCAGTCACGTGTCGGGCTAGGGAGCCAATCATTGGCGGCCACAAGGTAAGAGCATACGTTTATTCATGATTCCAGAGATAAGTAATTGTATATGAGTATGAAGTAAAATATTCGATTCAACATCTTTTATTTCCAGCAGTATTTTTCGATTCTATCTTACCTTCGTTTTATCGCCAGTCCATCATATTGCCAAAAACTTGTCGTTAAAAACTGAAACAATATGAAGGGTTTTTTTTCTCGGCATAAATATGTATACATTGTATTTATATTCACGTTTAGGAGGGATTGTGTTTTAAATTGTTCAACTATTTAAGTGCTGTTGGTGGTCATACATATACATAGTTTACGATAACACGGCTCAGAATATACATGTGTTCTTTTGAAATCATCATATATAAAAATTGCGAGATATATTTAATCATGGGGTCATTGAATCTCCCCATTTAAATTTTGAAATTTCTTTCAATCAATTTCAATTTTGCTCTGTACCTCTCCTATAGGTTACAAATATTAAGGCCCCATGCAACAACTGAACAATCCAGTTTGACATTTTTTTCGATCAATTTCAATTTTCCTCAGTATCCCTCCTATAGGTTACAAAAATTAAGGTTCCAAGCAACAACTGCACGATCTAATCTGATTCATAATTTGGTTCTACGGTAATTTGTTCTGAATTTATATTTATAATAGCTAATAACTTAAATGTGTGAAGTAAAATCTCTTTACAGGAGTTTGAGTTGCTATGGCTCGAAAACCAAGGACACTTAGATAGACCATGGACGTCCCACGTGATAGGTCAGGGTCCCGACATCTTCCTTAGGAATGCTACATTGATGACACCCAGTGGACCAAAGGATTGTATCATTACGGCACAATATTTCACCCAGAGTCTGTCCGTCTACTGGACAGACAACGCTACCCATTCTTGGACTAATCTGTCACAGGTTTGTCTCGGTGATGTTATTTTGAATCAGTGGTTTACATTGGATTTTCAAAGTTAAGCATATTAGACATGGGTAAGACTGCAGGAATACCCCCTCGTTTCATTTTCAATGTATCTGTTTTCCGCAAGTGGTTATTTCTTCGATATTATAAAGAGTAATATCTTTTCACAGTAATCAAATTAAGTCCTTCTTTTAGCATATTTCGGATAATTAATGAATTTTCATCATATAATGTCAAAAAGCTCTTTACCACCACAATTCGCATTATTTTGTCTTCTTCTTATAAAAGAAAGATAAAAAAGTCTTTATTTTTAAATCTTATTGTACAAACCAAAGTTCTGTGTAGCGGTTTGTGTAGTTGATTTCACACTTTAACTACTTTCATTTCAAAATATTACCACCATCGCGAGTCTTTCAAAGCATGACATTTTATAATTAATTCACGAAAGTCGTCCTCAGATTTTTAAATAATTTAGTACTATATTTACAAATTATACACATACGTAAATACATTTACATGAAAAATTAGTCAAAATAATGAAAATATTGCGTAAAAAACGAAAATGTAACACTATTCTTACGGACTACCGTAGTATACTACTCTCTTTAAACCAAGTACTCAGTGACATCTAGAAATAATAGTTTTCGGGGGTTTCAATAAGTGCCCGCATAACTTAAAAACTCGTCAGCATTTGTATATGATTCTATTTTTAGAAGAAGTTTCGTCTGGTTCTGAGATGTAAGGTGGCTTGACGAGTAAAATGTAATCCGCAAATCTACAGACGAGCTAGTGTCCGTGTGATATTTTTTATGTAAAGTTTTTTTTTCAAAAAAATCGACTGACTTTAGGAACACTTATTCAAAAATGTGTTTTTGTTGTTTCATTTTGAATCAATATCAACAGGTACATTCGCGAGTGATAGACAACAGTATAGGGGGTGTTTTTGAGGTGGAAGTTGTTGACCTTAACGGAGATGGGAAACTAGACCTCCTTGTATCCGAGAACGGCCAGATTGGGGCCCTCTACGGGTATGAAATACCGGTCGACTTCAGGTATCTAATCGTTCATAATCTTCGTTCATAATCTATTTATTAATTTACGTTGTTTTAATGGTTTATGGCTTCTCGGTTTGCAGCAGAAGAGTGTGAATCACGTAATGGGTTACGATACAAAATCACAATTCAAGCTGAAAAAAAATCTCCCAAAATATGTAAACAACCTGTTCAAACGAAATGAAATCTTTAAAAAAACATCACCGCTAAAATAGAAGCAACGTTGCAGATGGCAGATGCTTTTGGTAATGGGGGACAAAACACCAATACTGTAGATACATTGTATGTATTGGGGCATAAAGAGACAACAAAACATGTTGGGACACACGGAGACAACAAAGCATAAAGGTACAATTGAGGACACGAGAACATATTGAGACTTTTAGAACAGGAAGAATATATTGGGAAGTTAGCGAAAAGAAAATAATTTTCAGATATTTTTTAATAGGACAGCATCACGGGATTAATGACACATATGCTCTAAATTGAACTTGAAGTTGAACTAAGGAGCAACGCTATGAATGTAATTATCAAAGTTTTCAGTTTACAAACATCATTTTTGTGTTTCTAACAGGACGGGAAACTTTACCCGGCATACTCTAGCTCAGGGATTCGGACCTCGGAAATCCGGAACCGGTAAAGGAGCTCCCGGGTCTCCAACAGCGGTGTTCCCTTATAAAAATGCAACACAGAAGTGAGTGTCTGTATAATTTCTTTGTTGTTTGAATTGTCGCAATAGCTGAAATGTATTTCTATGAATAAACCATACGAAAAGTTCATACCCTGGAACAAAAAAAAAACAAAAACAAAAAAAACAGTAAATGGAAAAGTAAATAAATCTCAATTTCATAACAGGAGGAACGACACTGAAATTTCTCTTTATCTTATGAAATTGTCTAATTTGATGCAATGTTTAGATATACATATATTGTGTTCTAATATAAGTTTTCCTCGCTTACGTCACAGTTCAATGTTTATGATACTGTAGTGTTAGTTAACTTGTTTTATGATATATCTTGGTTAACCAGTAAGATAGAAATAATGTTTATGAAATAAAAGTGTCTATGATAATTGTTGTAATGTGAGATGAGTTATATAACAAAAGATATAATTTGATGCCTTTAGGGAAAAAAATTGCTTTGGGCATCAAAGCAATTGTCATTAATAAGCCTAATATTTGATTGATAATTACAGAGTGAAGCCCTCCATTTTATTATCGGGTGATGATGAAGGCACAGCATTTTACTTAGAACCTCTGAGCGCCGACGCATCGTCATGGACGTATAATTTAACGACCTTTTTACAAGCCAGCGACGGAACGGTCGGCCAGCTCAGCTTCGCCGATGCAAACGGCGATGGTTACCAAGAGGTGTTTGTACCATCCTACAGCACAAACGAGTTATTCGTCTACACCTTTCACCCGTGACGCCACAGAACCATAACATGAAACTCCATTTAAGATTTTGAATGTATATGGTTAATAGAGCGATGAAAATAGAGCGTGTTTGAACTAACTCACAAATGAATGCAATGCCTTCGGGGTTTCTGCAATAATGACTGTATATCATTAACTACGTGTCTGAAAGATTTGCTCTTCCTCAAATATAAACAACTTTTTTCCCTTTTTTTAGGAATTCTTACATAACTTTCGTAACCAATGATCAGATATTACTATGACAAAATCTAGTTAATGGAATTTCAATTTTTTTGGCATTATATCGTGGAAACCATCACCAATTCCTTAGGAAGAGACTCATATGTGCTATGTCTGTTGTCTCATCCTTTTGTGCAATTTTGTTCAATAAATTTTCTTAAAGTGAAAATCATCACCAATCTGTGTTTTTTCTTCGAGATTGTAGGTGGTAGGCACTGATGGTTGACTTTTAGTCCCCGAGGTGTGGTGTAAACCGTACGTCACATTCATTCGAATAGTAGCATGATTCACAATATACACAGGTACTTGAGGCTGTTCTAAAATTATCTGATATGTAAAAAACATTATCTTTTTACTTAATGTTGGGGCCAGTGCACCTCCCCGTCAAGATCCTGACTTTTCTTTCGATCACTTTGGAATTTAGGCCCCTAGCATCACTGACGAGTCCTAGAAGAACGAAACAGCGGTATGATGTAGCATCACTGACGAGTCCTGGAAGGACGAAACAGCGGTATGATGTAGCATCACTGACGAGTCCTAGAAGAACGAAACAGCGGTATGATGTAGCATCACTGACGAGTCCTGGAAGGACGAAACAGCGGTGTGATGTAGCATCACTGACTAGTCCTACCAGGACGAAACAGCTGTATGACGTATCATCACTGACGAGTCCTAGAAGGACGAAACAGCTGTATGATGTAGCATCACTGACGGTCCTAGAAGGACGAAACAGCCATGTAATGCAGTTAAATTCATCGTTTGACTATGCCGTTTCTAACTCTTAATTAATGAAAGGCGCTATTCACTTGTGTGTCTTTTGTACGATCTGCTGGTGTCAAAACAATGAGTAGCATTCAGTTATTTGTCTTTTGTATAATCTTTGTAAAATTTAGGTTTCTTGAATTCCCTGGAAATGTGTTGATATATTCAGCTCCGCTTCGCTTCAAATGAGATATAGTTACAGATTGTCATTCCTGGACTGAGATGGATCTGGCTCTCACCACTATAGGTGGCACGATGACTTAAGCCAATAGAACATCAAGCTTCACAACCATTAGTGAAGATCCGAAATGCGAGATGTTATCCTTACCAAGGACGGTTCGTCTTTCTCTAAAAGCTAATATCTTAGACACTCCTGTGCTGTCATGGTTGTGTCTTTTGACCAAGGACACTTTATTCACATTTCTTTATATAATTATAAAACGGACCTCCCGTATGTTGTTCAGTGATCATTACAAGGAGACCACGTTTGAAAAATTACCCTGATTACCGCACCAGCGCCGTTTCTATGTCAGTAATCAGGACGTTATTATTATCACGTGTTGGATTATTTCTTGTTATATATATAATATATATAACACCTTTCACCTAGACGTGAAAAGAGATGGAATCAACCGTCAGACTAGGTGGGGTTTTTTTTCTCTCGGATACTCCGGTTTCCTCCCACACTCATATCCTTCGCGCCCTTCAATTCGGGCCTACGCGAGGTATTAATCTGAGTTGAAATAACTTGTTTCAAAATTGTTATAAAATATATTGAGTTTATTTTAATTTCTAAAATTTTATTTTAAAATTGTAATACTTTTCCGAGACCAGAGATATGCAGCTTCAGTATTGCTGAAACGAGATAGATATACAAAGTGTTACTTCATCTATTGTACAAACAAGTAGTTAATTACTTGTTATCTCCCAATTAGTACAACATCATCAATATTCAGAATATTTCATCCTTTCTAACTAGGTAATTACTATCTCCAGCGACAAAAGGCTAATTACAAATGTTTAAATACCTTCACTGCTTATCACAGTAAAGACCCTTGGTAATTAACTTTCCTAATGCTACAACCAAATCCCAAGTTTAATTAACAACCAATCCAAAATAAAAAAATAATTAGCAAATGAAAATTTATTTTTTTAATTGATGATTATATCATAATATTTTCAGCAGTTTTGTTAAATATTGTTTTTTGCTAATTGCTAATCTTTGTTTTTTTTTTTTTTTCAGTACACCATAGTCAGTACTCAACAGCCTTTATTTGATCGTATATCAATAATTTTCGATTGTTTCACAGAACCGGACCCCATTCTCGGATTATTTTTTTTCTTGAAAACAATGAACTGTTTAACACAAAGTGACGTCATTATTTTGTACAACTGCAGATTATCAGGCCATTTAGGCACTCGGCAGTGATGTTTTTAACCGATTAGCGTGGCTTAATTTTTTATCGAAAATATATATACAAAATGACATGTGGCAGGCATTTAGAATTAT